TTTTATAGTTATTTATTTATATATATACTATATATTTTGGGGTTAGACTGTCCAAATTGCACTGTATAATATGTTTTGAATTAATATGTTCTTGGGGTTTTTTTTGAAATATATATATATATACATGTATTCATTCAACATTAATCTGAGTTTCTGGACAAGAAAGATGGTAAGCAGTTGAAATTTCATTTTAAAACTCATCTTTTTTTTGTCTTTTCATGGCTTATGACCTATCAAATTTGTAGTTTTCTTTATTGGTTTTGAGTGTTTATCTTAAAACTCAATTTTCTTGGTTCTTTGCTCTTGGTGTAAATTGAATACATTTGTGGAGTCGTTTAAATATATTGGATTTTAAATTGTCATACAATTTTTTTCATCGATAGTCTGTAATTGGAACCATAGCTCTTCTTTATTCAAATTGTATTAATATGTAAAGACCAAGTTTAATCTATATCATCGTTAAATCTTATCTTATAAAACCAGTGGAACTTCAAAATCGTTAAAATTCATGGCTCTCGCCGCATTGCGCGGGTACACAAGTAGTAATTGAAAAAAAATGATAGTAAGTTCCTCATAAACTACTCCAACTAGTTATTAATAAATTAGCTTATTTTCATCCAAACATATACTAAAAACCAAATTACCTTATAAGCTACCTTATGTTTGCCAAAACAATGTCTTAGAAAAAATTAAAGAAAAATACGTAGTAGGTGCATCTATGGATTGATAATAACAACAATTGGCTTATAAAAGTAGGCTAGATAAAATGATTATATTGTACTTATTGTTAAGACAAACACCTCTACAAATTTAATTGACTAGATACAAAATAACGTGGATTTTAGAGTATAGGTCCAAATTTAATTAAAATTTAATCCACTTTTAATGATATATTGACTAAATTAACTTTCAAAAAAATTCAAATTATATATATAACTTATAAAAAATCATATTTCAAAAAATGACTTTTCATTTAGCACTACACACTGCTTGGTCTATAGGGAGTTTTTTTGCAAAAAATTATATTTTCAAATTTGATGATGTGACCCCATTGATATAATGACGGTTGATGATTTAATACTGATTGGTGCTTAGTGCGTAAGGGGCCCACCTAACCGTCCCTAGTTTGACTTTTATTTTGTCATTTTTCTTTTAGACTTATATATCGAGATGCATCTCTAAAATGACAAAATAGAAGTCAAACCAAGGGCGTGACTGGGTGTGCCTCTTGGCTCTTACGCACTAAACACCAACAGGTGTTAAACCATCATTATGTCAAAAGGATCACATCATCATATTTGAAAATTTTCTTTTGCAAAAAAGTCCCCCTACACGCCAAGCAGTATCTAGTGCTAAATGGAGGGCTATTTTTCAAAATATGATTTTTATAGGTTATTTTTATAATTTGAACTTTTTAGAAGGTTAATTTAATCAAGATCCCCACTTTTAATAGCATTGGAATTTTATCATCAACTAGGCCATACCTAAAATGTTATCAATATTCAAGTATTTTTATATCAAAACAAATAAAAAATTTGAAAATATATTATAAATAGCTGAAAGAAAAATATTCCCGTCGTTCCAAAATAAATGTATACAATAAAAACGATACATAATTTTAAAAATATGTAATTATTAGACTTTTTATATAACCAAATGACATTTTTATTCTTAATAATAACGACAAATTTATTCATCACATAATTAAGAGTAAATGAAAAAAATTAATACTTAACTTTTTTAAAATTAACATTTATTTTAAAATAAATAAAAATAAAAATATATACATTTATTTTGGTATAAATTTTTTATATAAAAATCGAAATATACATTTATTTTGGTATAAATTTTTTAAATAAAAATCGAAATGGAATAAAAAAAAAAGTCAAAAAAGTGTGCAAAAATTAAATGGGTGGTTATAGAGTGGGGGTATTCTAAAGCCACCCCTGCTACTTCTTTCACCCTATTTTTTCTATACCCCACCTATATGAAATAATAAAATAATTAAAATTTATTTATTTTATTTTTCAATTTTAACCYTTTAATATTTTTAGTTTTAACCCTTCAATTTTTTAAATACTTTCCTATTATATCCTCTAGGTTTTTTATCTATATTATAATTACATATATTAATTAACTAATATTATTTATTAATTAAGTATTAAGGATACATATTTTTTAATAATTATTTAAATTAATTAAATTTATATTATTACTAAATAATAAAATATTAAAAATATGTATTTTTTAAATTATATATTTGTATATGAATTTTTTTCAATATTTATACTTTATATCTTTATAAAAATTTATTATATTTATTTACTTCTTTATTTTTATTTTATACCCTTATGATATTTATATAATTACAGTTCCATAATTAAATAAAACGATGTTCAATATTGGGTTCATTTTGAAGTTATTGACGAGACGATTATGATGATGTAACTTATTAAAATAAAAACATATTTTTAACGGATTTTAGTTAAAATACGATTATAATAATATAATTAAATCAAATAATATTCATTATTGAGTTTATTTCGAAGAGATTGACGAGACGATTATAATGGTGTAATTTGTTAAAATAAAAAATGAGTATGTAAGATGAACAAGATGAATAAAGGGTATGAAAATGCTTCCTGAAAGATTAATTTAGTTGTTAGATCTAATTTTAGTTAATAAAAAATTATGTATTTTAGTATGATAATGGTGTAAAAATAAATGATAGATCATAAATTAAATAAATAGCTATAAAAGTATAAATCGTAAATATTAAAAATATTTTTTCACAGTGTATATAATATATAATAATATAATTAACTCAAAAACTATTCAATATTGGACTCATTTCGAATGTATTAACGAGACGATTATAATGGTGTAACTTGTCAAAATAAAAAGGTATTTTTTTAAACATGTTTTAGTTGATGTACCATTATGTATGTCAATTTAATAAAGGTGCAAAATGAAAAACTTAAAAGTAAAAGGTGTAAAATAAATTAATTAAATAATTACAAGGGTATAAAGTGTAATTTAAAATTATAATATTAAACAAATTGATTGAATGTGAGAGGGAGGGGGTGTATAAGTGACGTAAGGGGCAACCCCCGAGAGTGTCTAAAATGTAAAAAGGTCCTACCGGGATTCGAACCCAGGTCGCTGGATTCAAAGTCCAGAGTGCTAACCACTACACCATAGAACCTTATTTATAAATCCTCTATCATTTCACTAATTTATCTCTTATCAAAATGGCCGCTTACTTCGACATCGTCATCTTCGGAGCGTCTGGTTTTACAGGCAAGTACGTAGTCAGAGAAGCTCTCAAGTTTCTCAATGCACCCAATTCGCCTCTCAAAACCCTCGCTCTAGCCGGTCGGAACTCTTCTAAACTCTCAGAAACACTGAAATGGGCATCCACGTCTCACCCCACCATACCCCTTCTCGTTGCTGACACCTCTGACCCACATTCTCTCCGCCGCATGGCTTCCCAAGCTAAGCTCGTTCTCAACTGCGTTGGACCTTTTCGTTATCACGGTGACCCCGTTGTCGCTGCCTGTGTTGAAGCCGGATGCGATTACTTGGATATTTGYGGTGAGCCGGAGTTYATGGAGASGATGGAAGCYKTTTACCATGAGAAGGCGGTGGAGAATGGTAGTTTGGTGATTTCTGCTTGTGGGTTTGATTCAGTTCCGGCTGAATTAGGGTTGTTGTTCAATTCCCGGCAGTGGGTTTCGCCGTCAGTGCCGAATCAAGTTGAAGCCTACATTAGTCCTGAACCACGTGGAAGGATGGTGGGCAATTTTGCGACGTATGAATCGGCGGTTTTGGGTGTGGCCAACGCTGATAAGCTAATGGAGTTGCGACGGTCCAGACCCAGAAAAACCCGACCTCGGGTAACGCACAATTTTCGGCTTGTTAATTTTCTTTGATTCATTCATATTATTTTAGGGGTCGTCTCTTAAGTATTAACCAATGTTTGAAAAAGATCCCCGCAAATGCCGTCATTATATGTCGTGGCTCAAGACTTGTGTCTCAGACCACGACATAATGCATGGTTTTTGTTACTTTGTAATACGATATTTGATTTTACTTATCTTTTTAACGTTTTATTTATTATTTTTTAGTATAAATTAATTTAAATTGTTGTCTATCATTGATTTATTGAGTAATTTTGGAAATATATGTTTTTGTATGTAATTTGATATATATAGAGATTTGCCGTCATAAATCACGCCTTGAAAAATTTCGTGAGTCGTGACCTCGTTGTGCTTCCGAGGTCACAAAATCACGTATTTAGAATCTTGCCGTTAACACATTAAATCTTGGTTTTTGAACAAATTCGGCCCAATTTTACTTATCTTTGGAAGCCCATATTTATATAGCCCAAGCCCACTTCAACCAAGACTTATGTAAAAAAATTTCAAAATAAAAAACCGGTTATTTGATTTCAAATTTGCGAGATCAAAAACAAAAATGACTTTGATATTTTTCTAAGTTTGTTATTTTAATTTGTAAGATTTTTAATATGATATGAAATTTTGTATTTTATTTTGTTTATTACTGATTTCAGACGACATATAATTTTAGTAATGGTTGAATAGAGCTCCAATGGAACAACGGTGGTCATTTGTAGTCAGACTTTGGTTATTGCCATTAGATTTAAATGTTCATTGATTCATATATGCCCATGTATTAGATTCGTGGTCCTGCTCCTCTAGGAGGTTATGCCATAGAACACAAGAAAAAGCTCAGACTTTGGGCAGTGAAACTCCCATCCGCCGATGTGAGTATTGTTCGGAGAACACTATCCATCCTTACAGACAACCCTAGTGGTCTTCAAGGTGTCAATGAGGATCCTAAACAGGCGAACAAACGAGCCATCTTTTGGTCGTCGATAAAACCTGCTCATTTTGGAGTAAAGATAGCCACCAAGAATCGTATGGGTATCCGCTCATTAATCCTAGTTGGGCTATCAATTGGACTGCTGAGCAGCTTTCCTACGGGGCGGTGGCTTCTGTTGAAGTTCCCCTCCATTTTCACTCTTGGGATCTTCAAGAAGAAAGGTCCAACCGAGGAGGAAGTGACGGGTGGCGGTTTTAAGATGTGGTTTGTGGGTCATGGCTTTAGTGATTCCAATCTTATTAATAAGGGAGATGCAAAGCCTGATACAGAAATCATTACCAGTATAACGGGGCCGGATATTGGGTACATGACCACTTCCATTATTCTGGTTCAGTGTGCTCTGATTCTCTTGCAACAGAGAGGAGATCTTCCAAAAGGCGGCATATTTCCTCCAGGAATCGTTTTTGGGCCAACCAACCTTCAAGATCGACTGCAGGAGAATGGGATTTCGTTCAATTTGGTTTCAAAGAGTAATATCTCTTCTACATAAATGGTGTACTCATTTGGCTTCCATATATCTAATTAGCAATAAAGAGAGGTAAAAGACACTACCTTCTTTTGTGTTTGCCAATTATAGATGTTATCGGGTTCTTTTTTTATTTCAAGTTAGCGGGCTATTTAAATATTCGGTCACGGGCCTCGACCCTATGTTTCTGCTTTTATAATGGTTGTTATAGAATTTCCTTAACTCAAAACATAACCCTGCGTTGGTAGCCCACCCCAACAATTCAATGAATCAATAATAAACGCGATACGTGTGGACCTTAGAAAGAGGAGCTTGTTTCCAAAGAACCTCGCACATTCTTTAGGCATGACCATTATGATTCTCTGAAGTTTAAAAGGGAATAGTATCTCTCAAAATTATGATTGGAATTCCGAAATTATCCTTGAGTTAGTTTCGTGACACTCTAATAAAATTGGGTTGAAATATAACGTAAGGAAAACGAGATCTCACACTACTTGACAATTTTTGTCCAAGTTTTATATGCTAGTTGTTTCCACAATTCTAGAAAGGGTAATGCTATTTGCACCCCGTTTTATGTCATAATCAAGTCAATTAATGTGTCGATAATGTAAAAAGCAGGTCACGATGTTGATGTGTGTGAGGAAGAAATTTATAGGTAAGTTGCATTTAGCAATATCGATGCGATAACCCCGTGCCTTTTGAAAATTCTCCAAGATTGTATAAATGTAGGGTTATGATGTAGTTATAATTGAGAGGTGTCAAAAGTAAGAAACTGAATAACCCACTTGAACCGAATGCGATTTGGGTTAAAAAGGTTTTGGGTTATTGGGTTTTCGTGTTAAACGGTTCAGTTAATCAAATAAGATCGTTATTCGGTTAACTTTTTTCTAATTCGGTTAAACCGAATAACATATTGTACTTATATTTTATATAATTCATCCTTATAGTATTATTATTATTTTACATATTTTATTGTTATATAATATTTTTTTCTTGTTGTTTTTTGTGATATTATGTTTTTTACTTGATGTAATTTGTCATATGAAAAAAATAATGTGTTTTGGTAGATGTTGATTTTTAATGATTTATTTACTTAAGTTATCTTTGACAAATTAACTGATAAGCTAGCTAATGACTAATAAGCTAGCTGTTATCTGACAAGCTAACGACTAACAAATAATGTTTAACAAAAACTAACTTATAAGCATGTAAAATAACAAAAAATGACATTTTGAAACAATAATCAACTACAAAACATTTCATAATATAATTATAATAAATTTCTAATAATATAATTAAAACAAATTTCAAATAATATAACATGTTAATTAATACAAAAAAAT